TGAGAATGATCAAAATTTCAGGGGGTCGGGCGTTTTTACCCTAGACCATAAACAATCTTTTATCATAAACAATAGAACATTCATAGATTAATTTTTGTATAGATTGTAAATTTAAATAATTCCAACAGCAACAAAATTAAGGCAGCTTTTTTCAAGTTAAAAACCCTATATAAAATAAAACCATATATAAACGAAGAACTAAGATCACTACTCTGTGAGTCCTTGGTACTGTCTCAACTCAATTACGGCAGCGTAATCTACGGCCCTAGACTCAATAACTCAGTTGTATGGGCTATACAAAGAGTGCAAAATGCAAGTGTTCGGTTTTGCTGCAATGTGCCAAGAAGGGAATATATCACCCCATATCTGAACAGGAAAGGCATACTAAACATGGAAGCAAGAAGAGAGCTGCATTATGCCTGTACTGTACACAAAGTTATCTGGACTAAGAATCCAGAATACTTATTTGAAAAACTTGTTTGTATAAAGGATTTCCCGCACAGAAGCCGCCATGCAACATCGAATTTGTTGAAAATACCTAAACATAAATCGGCAAGATTTCAGGGATGTTTTAAATTTACTGCAGCAAGAATCTGGAATGATCTCCCTCCCCCCCTTAGGAAGAAAATGAACATCTATAGCTTTAAACGGAAATATAAATTGGCGCTGCTGAAGCGTCAACTTGCTGCAGAAAATATAAAACTTTCCTACTGGAAACACCTTAGTCTGAAAGAGTATTTGTAATGCATAAATAAAGAAAACATCCAGTACATACATATTGTACTAGGCACATAGGTTCGTTAACACAAACACCACTCATTCCCACACGCATACATAAACCCAGACTCACATACACTCACACACTAACACACACACTTACACACTAACACACACACACACAAACACACACACGCACATACACACACATCGGAAAGCTGGTGCTTGCTAAAAGGAAAAAAAAACCTACATATAAACAAGAGTAGTAGAGGATCATTATTGGTTGAAATATATTGTTGTTACTTAACAGTTTCATTTTCTTAAATTATGTGCCTTTCAATTTTCTGTTCGAATATGTTAAACGCATTAAGTATTAAGTAATAATTTGTTATAATAGTTTCTGATTTTTAACTATATGAATAGTGTACAGCGACCATCTACTATCTATTCCCCCTTTTCCATCTTGGGGGGGGGGGTGGCTGAAAACCAGCTCGACACTGGAATCTGACCTGTGTTGGCAAAGCTGAGCCACCCCCTTTTGCCAGCACTATCTCTGTATAACAGTGTGTTGTATAATTTTGTTCAGTTTTTTTTTATGGCAATAAAGTTTTTTATTTTATTACCTTTTTACCTATTTAGTATTTGTTCGGTTAATATTATTATAAAAATGATCCTCGATAGTTCTTCTTCTTCTTCTTTTAATTACTAGTGGACCCCAAAGAGTACCCCATCGTTTAATTTCTCGATCGATATTTTATATACATCGATATTTTATAGGCGTCAGTTGTCAAACTATTCTACATATTTTAAATAGACACACTGACATACATACTTTTTTGATCCCTATTTAATTTATGAAATGGCTACATTGGTGGGCAACTAATAATTGGCAACACAACATATCGGGTCATCAAAAATGGCCGAAGTACCGATCGAGAGTGAATTCCCTGTTTGGGGATTATTACCGAAAAAAGAAACAGGGGTTGTGTCTTTTTTAAATAAATATCCCGATTATGATGGCAGGGGTACTATAATAGCTATTCTAGATTCTGGTGTGGATCCTGCTGCCGCCGGTCTTAAGGTGGATAATTCTGACTTGTCATGATTTGTTTGGTTGTTATTTTGTTGTGATTAAATTTTGATGCATTTCTTCAAACTAGGTAACGTCGACAGGTGAAATAAAGGTTATAGAAAGATTTGACTGCAGTGGATGTGGAGATGTTGATACTAGTACTATTATCAAGAAAGTTGTCGATGGCCACATTACCGGTATTACAGGAAGGAAACTTAAAGTAAGGAACAGATATCGTTGTTAATATTATTCTTAGTGCAATTTTAAGTTATATAAATACATGATAAATAATTTTTGATCGAATGTTCTTGCACAGTTATTCGCAATGTCATTCGGTCATTGACCTGATGTGCTTCACAGCTGTTCTTTGTCATATTTTTGTAACTGATAATATGGTATTCTTATAGCTAAAGGGATCATGATTTGTTAATGTTACTGTCTGTTTTTATTGGCCATTAAAACCGTTAGGGTAAAATAATATAAAAAAAACAATAGATTTACTATGGCTATGTACCAGTTACAACGTTTAAAAGTGGGATAGTCAGCAACATTAGCTACTGCACATAGGGTCAGCTCAACCGATGCAATCCCACTAAAACAAAGGTTACTGGTGTTTTCCACCTTGTGTTAGATGGGGAAAATAAACATTTACATGACCTTTGTCTTAACTTCATGTAACCTTAATCATTTCCCTTTATAACAATTTCCTTAGATTCCAGAGTCATGGAAGAATCCAACTGGGAATTGGAGAACAGGAGTATTATATCCTTTCAGTATTTACCCTACAAAGCTAAAAGAGCGGGTGCAGGAACATAGGAAGGAGCACCTCTGGGATGTGGGACATAAGAAAGCATTTGCTGAGGCAAATGCTAAACTACACGAATTTGAAACTGATGTTGGTAAGTTTTTTGAGAACATTTTAAATTTTTATTAAAATACAATTTCTTAATTATTATTTTACTTATATTTTGTTGATTTTTCTTTACCAGCTGCCAAAAATCCTAATTTAAGTGCTGATGAGAAACTTCTCAAAGAAGAGTTGGAGGCACGAGTAGAAGTGTTGCAAGCGGCAGAAAAGAAATACACAGATGTCGGCCCCACATATGACTGTGTATTATTTCATGATGGTGAAATTTGGAGGTAACATTTTTCTATCTGAAAACTTGAGTTTTCATGAGATTTCTTATCATTTTAGTTTCTAAATACGGAAAATCTTTTAGACTTTTAAATAAGTTTTATTGCATCTGTTTTACCCAATCTTCTTCCCAAAAGTTTTTTTTGGTGTTGATACAGGGCATGTATCGACACAACTGAGAGTGGGGAGCTGTCGGAGGGTTTGTTGCTGGGGGAGTACAGCGTGACGCACGAGCACGCACATCTCACTTCCCTCGACGAGATGACGGTCAGCATCAATGTGCACGATGATGGTGACGTGTTGGAGGTGGTCGGAATGTGCTGTGAGTTTCAATCAACATTTCATTTCATACATTCATGAAGCAATTCGAGTATGTAAATAATGTTCTTATTGTTAGGCTAAACAAAAATGTGAGAGTGTTTTCGCTTATGTATAAAATGGTGCAATACAGAAGTACTAGTTACTGATGTGCACTTAATGAACTGACGTTACTCCAGCAACGCACGGCACGCACGTGGCGGCGATAGCGGCGGGCTACTTCCCCGAGGAGGCGGAGCGCAACGGCGTCGCGCCCGGCGCTCAGATAGTCTCCCTCACCATCGGCGACGGCCGCCTCGGCTCCATGGAGACCGGCACCGCGCTCGTGCGCGCCTGCCTCAAGATCATGGACCTCACCGCCACAAGGAAGATCGACGTCATCAACATGAGCTATGGGGAACACGCACACTGGTCCAACTCCGGGTTAGTGCGTCTACCTCTACCTCTACCTCTACCTCATATCACCTTTCATCTATTTATTTAAAACATTGCTGTTACATCTTTAAACTCAAAGACATTTACTTAGCAATGAAGCAGTTATAAACCCTTGATATGGTAGCAAGTGGAACTTTGTAGATAAGAATGATTATGTGATTATGTAAATTAAAGTATAATTTTATACAATCCATTATCAGGATTTAAAGTTTAAAATTGAATTATTTAATAAATTAGCAATTAGGAGACACAAATAACATTGTGGGAAATAACTTATTGATATATAATAAGTATACAATATTATATTATGTAATCATTTATAAATAGTTGTAGATTCTATTCGTCTTTTGTATTAAGAGGATGTTTGAGTAAACATTTTATTAAATGCAATAACCGAAACAAGAGAGAAATGCACCAGATTTTCGTAATTATAAAAATGTTGAATAGAGTAAATGTGATGGTGTGTGGTGATGGTTGTATTGCAGTCGCGTGGGCGAGGTGATAAGTTCAGTGGTGAACCGGTACGGCGTGTCCTGGGTGGTGTCCGCCGGCAACCACGGGCCCGCGCTCTGCACTGTCGGCACGCCGCCCGACATCGCGCACCCCGTGCTCATCGGTACTCGTCCCTCCTCTATACACTCTAACCACTGCGACTACATCTCTATATACATTCCTTACAACTGTCTTGACAAACAGGTAGCGAGCGATTGCCTTCGGACCCTGAAAATTAAAATGTCGGCGACGCATGCCTGTGTACGAACTTTTATGACATTTTATTTTGTAAGTCGCTCGCCTACCTTTAGCAGAGAATATTTCCCCTTCCGATTTGTCCCCTCTTCTAAATCCACTTCCCTTCACATGTTAATAAGAAAAGGATGGGAAGGGAAAGGAGAGAAATGTGTAAAGTGTAACATGTAATGTGCAGGTGTGGGCGCGTACGTGTCGGCGGAGATGATGAGCGCGGCGTACTCGATGCGCGCGGCGGGTCCGGCGGGCGCGTTCAGCTGGAGCTCGCGCGGCCCGTGCGCGGACGGGGCGGCCGGCGTCTCGCTGTGCGCGCCCGGCGGCGCCGTCGCCTCCGTCGCCAGGTGCCGCACCGCACGCCGCACGCCGCACACCGCACACCGCACACCGCCCTCCTATATCTACTCTTTGTTCTAGGTTCACTCTGCGCAATTGCCAGCTAATGAATGGCACGTCGATGGCCGCGCCGCATGTTGCCGGTGCTGTTGGTAATTCCTAATTATTTATTATTACTACAACTAAAAAAAAGCTATAAATAGTAAGACCGCTAAAAATGGGCTCAAACTAATTATAATACTATTTATTTGTAAATTCATGATAATGCACTAACATATTGAATAAGTGATATTTTAAGTTAAGAAAAAAATAGTACTAAAAGGTTTTGTGTAGTAGCCAGCAGTGTGTGTGTATGTATGTATGCATGCAGCGGCGCTGGTGTCGGGTCTGCGTGCCCGTGCGCTGCCGCACTCGCCGTACAGCATGAAGAGGGCGCTGGAGAACTCCGCCACGCATCTCCCGCACGTGGAGCCCTGGGCGCAGGGCTGCGGACTACTTAATATCGAAAAGGTACACATATTCTACACCAAAATACAATAAGTTAATTATGTCATTTTTGACTGAATAAAGGTAAGAAATGATATCGTAATGGTTAAGCGCAAAACGAAATACACGCTGTATAAGACATGAAGTAAGACAAGACAGTAAAGCAACATCAAATGAAGGCTGTTGTTAGAAAACAATGTGTTTTGTTTCCAGGCGTTCGAAATCCTAACAAAATACCACAGCGAGGTGGAGCGCGACGTGACATTCAGCGTGCAGTGCGGCCCGCACAACGGCAAGGGCATCCTGCTGCGGCCGCGGCCTGCAGACCCGCCGCAGGACATCGGCGTCACCGTCGAGCCCCACTTCCTGCTCGACCACACCGACCTGCACAGTCAGTACCCTCTTTTATTTTATATATTATATTATATAATACCGTGACAAACGAACAAGCGCAGCCCGTACACATCCGCAATTATCTGCAATTGCGTTGCCAGCTCTAAGCGACCGAGGACAGGGACACATACGGAGGAGCAAATTTTTCCATCCAATAGTCCCTCGTCAACACCACTGCTCCTTCCCATCCTTTTGTTGTAAGAAATGTGTGAGAAGTGAAAGGGGACCAAATTTAGGCCTCCGCAAACACAAGTCTCGTTCTTAATAACTTATTTCTAAATATAACTAAGTCTTTAAAGCGGTTTTAAGAAAGTAATTCGTTATTATTATATTAGTAATGGTGGTATTTAGAGAAGTGTATGCGATGCGATGCGATGTGATGCACGTTGTCACTCGCAGGCTGCGGGGACAAGGTTAGGTCGGCAGGCGCGGGATGTGTCGCTCCCACCTGCTCGTGCGGTATGTTTATATGTTGACATCTATGTTCATTCATGTTACATAGTGAACCAGTACATACAACACGTTAAATACTTCCTTTAATATCTAACAATAGCATAGTTTGATTTATTGTGTACTAGTTTAGAAACATGGATTGATGCATTTAAGTATCTTCTAGAACATTTTATTGGATATTGTTTGGTTGATTCATTTATTTTAATAAAATAATAGTAATTATATTAATTGAAATTTAATGTTGATTTATAAATAGCAGGAATCTATGTAATGGCGGATTATTAACTTTAGGTTTAAGAGTAGGTGTTAAGTGAGCGATGTTTATGTGGTGAACAGATACAAAAAAACGTATGTAGAATGATGCGTGTTGCAGACAAGTCGGTCATTCCCAAGCAGATCGCGTTCGGCGTGCGGCTCGCGCTCGTCTGCGCGGCGCCCTGGGTCTCCACACCCGCACACCTCGACCTCATGAACGCCGCGCGCGCCCTCGCCCTGCGCCTGCGCACCTCCCACCTGCCGCCCGGACCCCACCACGCCAGGTACCCCCCACACCCCCACACCCCACCCCACACCTCACATCTGTACCTGCGAGTGTGACGTGTGACATGTGTCGTGTTGTGCGCAGCATAAACGCGTACGACGTGTCGTGCGTGGAGAAGGGGCCGGTGTTCCGCATCAACATCACGGTGCTGCAGCCGCAGCCGCTGCCGCTGGACGCGCCCGCCAGCCCGCACTTCGCCGAGCGCGACGTGCTCTTCAGACCCGCCACCATCAAGCGACACTTCGTTATACGTAACCGTTCACCTTCTGTAGCTCTCGTTCGATTGCTTGACAGATGTCAACGTTTTGCTTCAACCTTTTATTCCTTTTTAGCTCAATCTTAAGCTAACAAGGAATAAAAGCAACAAAATATACTGCACGTGTATGTGGTGTGATGTTGTCAGCGCCGGCGGATGCGACGTGGGCGGTGCTGCGGCTGAGCACGGCGGAGCGCGAGCGGTCGGGCCGCTTCCTGGTGCACACGATGCAGCTGCTGCCCCAGCGCAGCTGTCGCTCGCACGAGACGCACAAGCTGCTCAACGTCACCGCGGAGGCGCCCACCTACCTGCCCTTCCAAGTCGTGGTCGGTTACACATCCACCTGAAATAACTTCTAATGGAAATGTTTAATTTTAAAGTTCGGGGCGTTGTTGTTACCTTATTGTGGTAAAAACACAGGGCGGTGTGACGCTGGAGGTGGCGATAGCGAAGTACTGGGCGAACATCGGCGAGCTGGTGGTGGAGTACAGCGTGGAGTTCCACGGGCTGCGGCCGGACTTCGGGTCGCAGCTGTGGCTGGGCGGCGCGCAGGCCCCCGCCCCCGTGCTGCTCTCCGCGCTGCGCCTGCAGGAGGTGCAGCCCGTCGCCCAGCTCAAGCACACGGAGCCGGTGTACAGGTTAAACATTTTCATTTTGGAGTGACGTAACGCACAGTACACCCAACAGTTGCGTAATGAAGTGTTGTGTCGGTGGGTGTGTGCAGGCCGACGGAGAGCAAGCTGGCGCCGCTGACTGCGCGCGACGTCATCCCGCCCGGCCGACAGATATACCAGCTCATCAACACGTACAACTTCCACATCGCCAAGGCCACGGAGGTACTATACCCTTTCACTTGTAGCTTATTATATATTTTAAATGGGTTTTTCACACCTATTTTGATAAATGGATCGATTTTAAAGATTTTGCTTTGCTGTACTCAAACTATTTTGAAATGAAATATTGCTTAGTTTTTCTCTTAAAATAATTGTATTGAAGAAGTATTTCGTTATCTGCAGGTGTCGCCTATCGTGTCGTTGCTGTGCGACACGCTGTACGAGTCGGAGTACGAGTCGCAGATGTGGATGTTGTACAACAGCTGCAAGCAGCTGATGGCCGTCGGCGATGCCTATCCTTCCAAGGTATTATGCGTCTTATGACCCCGGTAATAAAGCATATTTTACCTGCATAAATACATACAAGAATACATACGAAACATTTTTGCGATAGTTTCTCGAGATCAGCTGACAAATAAACGTTTCGCATACATAATATATTTGGTAAACGATTTTTTTGTCAATAATAAAATGATGCCCATTACCGAGCGCTTGATGTATTACTAATTATTTCGATACGGATGTATAGAGGTTGTAAAATAAGATGTTTGCGTAGTGTAGGTGATGTATAGTGTAGGTGATGTATAGTGTAGGTGATGTATAGTGTAGGTGATGTAAGGTGATGTAAAGTACATATAGAGGTAATTATTGTTGTAGTACTCAGTGAAGCTGGAGAAGGGCGAGTACGTGCTGCGGCTGGGCGTGCGCCACGACAACCGCGCGCTGCTGGAGCGCCTGCAGGAGCTGCCCGTCGTCATCCAGCAGCGTCTGCCGCAGCCCATCACGCTCGACGTCTACTGCTCGCACTCACAGGTACCTCCCACCTCCCTCCTCCCACCTCCCTCCTCTCACCTCCCACAACAGTAACATAACAGTAACTAATCATGATGTAATTACAGGCGGTTACAGGCGGTAAGAAGTTCACAACTGCGCAGCTGCACAGCGGACACCTGCTGCCACTGTACATTGCCCCCGTGCCCACAGACAAGTGAGTCTTCTTATATTCTCTACTTAATAATAATTTAATAAGGAAGGAGTGACGCATCCCCGCTACAGTCCTTCAAATGTGCTCTCATTTGTCAGCGATTCGCCTTTATACTCGACTGACAAAATGGTTAATGTTTTCGCCCGTATGTATGTTTGTTTATATGTATGAGAGTTCTATTGTGACGACCTAGACCTAAAAAAAAATCCCTATTCCCCGGGGTGTCATAGAGAACAACAGAGCCTTAGTCAGTCGGGATTATTTTGTTAAACTAAGGTGAAATGATTCCACGATAAGTGTCTCGTTTGATCTGTAATGTGTTTGTATATATGCGTGTATGTGTGTGTGTCGCAGACTGAGCAGGTCGACGATATCGGTGGGTCAGACGCTGTCGGGCACGGTGACGTTCGCGAAGGAGGAGTCGGGTCGGCGCGTGGACGTGTACGTGGTGCGCGCCGCCCCCTGCGACCCGCCGCGCCGCACCCCCGCCCCGCACGCGCACGCGCACGCGCCTCCCCGCCGCCACGACGAGTACGCGGACGCGCACCGCGACCTCGCCGCCACCTGGCTCGCCAAGCTGGGTACGTCCACACCACTCCTCTATACCCTCATACTGCGCCTCATCTCTATCATGTCATGTCATTGTGTTATTGCAGAGGGTGACAAGCTGGAGCAGCTGTACGAGGAGATGCTGGAGAAGTACCCCGGCTACCTGGGCACGCACGTCGCGTACCTCAACAGTGTCGACTCGCCCACGGACCCCAAGAAGTAAATTCACATTTATAAACACGTGTCACTGTTTACTAATCATTTTAGTAGAAAATATTAACTCACAAATATGGAGATTTACTTTTTATCTAAACAACATTTTTCAAGCTTCAACAAATGTGTCTCCAGATTGCCTCACGCGGCGGAGGAGCCGGACGTGACGACGGCGTGGTGCGAGCAGCTCATCACCATTGCTGATAAGGTGACAACTGCACTCACTGTATCATGAAATATTTGTTATGTGATATGACTACGACAAGGTTCGTCGTCGGCAGGTGATAAAGCAGATCGATCAGGACAAGCTGCTGGCCTACCTCGGCATGAAGAACGACACGCGCGCAGACGCCACCAAGATTAAACAGTCAGTCTATATATTATTTAATTTTAAATACAAATTTATATGAAATGAAATAAATTTATAAACCTACTTATACGTGTGCCGGGTGTGAAAGAAGTGTTAATGTTTGTGTTGAGTACTGTGCCAACTCGCAGGGAGCAGGAGCGGCTGCGCGGGTGGGCGGTGGAGGCGCTGTGCCGGCGCGGCGCGGCGCTGTGCCGGCTGCACGCGCTGGCGCAGGGCGGCGCCGCAAGGGACAAGATCGACGACGCGCTGCGCAACAACCTCGCCGACCTGCTGCGTCTCGCCGACCTCACCGACACCAAGGTACACCACACCAGCTTCCCCGCATCACCGCATCGCCACCCCATTTGGTTAAGGGATATTTGCTACGAACAAATATTAATGGCTTATTTTAAACAATTTCGTTTCACTTTTATGGCTTTTTTTTAAAAGTGCGTGTCTTTCAGGTGCAGCACTACGGCGTGTGGCACTGCTTCACGATGAAGCACTGGGGGCGCGCCATCAAGCTGCTGAACAAGATCCTGGAGGAGAGGCCGTCGCGCGAGGTGGAGGAGCGTCTGGCGGGCGCGTACCGCCAGCTGGGCTGGGAGCACCTCGCGCTCTGCGTGCAGCGCGCGCTGCCCGCCAAGTACCCGCCCGCATACCGCCCCTTCTGAGTCACGCCGCACCCCCAACCCCCTACACCCCACACGCTATATTCTCTCCTTGCTGACATTTTTTTACATCATTGATGAAGTTAACTTATGTATTTAATTTATCTTAGCTTATGTTCAATCGATTTATAATTTGTAAGAACTCGCTTTTACACATTCTGTGACTTCGTCAGGCTTTTCTTGATTTACGATAAAGCCGTCTTTATTTGCTGACAGTTTCTTATTTATTTAACTGTACCCATAGATTTATATAATGTTAATACATTTTATAGTATAACACCGACCAACAGAAAAATGAACAAAAACCAGCAAAATTGTTGCCAGAGCAGATTTGAACATAACGGCAAACGGTTCACGATTGAAATTCGTCTGTATATAAACATTTCGTATGGATTACTTACATTCGACCATTTATTGCGTCAAAAGAAAATATTCATCAGTGAATTGCGATTTAAGTGTTAGAAGTTGATAATGAAATCCACAGGTCGATACTGATCAATATTTATGTAACCAAGTAGGTAGGTCAATCACATAGCTAAATACAACGGACAGAATTCAACATTATATACATCTTATACTCATTTACATATACACCGAGAAGGCTTTTTTTTCAACCGGATGTCATAAATGAAACTAAATTATGACAAGTCAGTAGCGCCTCCCGGGGGCGTCAACGTCAAAGAGTTAAGCTCCTTGTACTGTAACTGTCATGTCATTTTCTAAGTGTAAGTAGGTTTTATATATATTGTGACAATACCTACCGCGATAGTAGCGCCTCTCACGGGTTAACTCCTTCTTTGACTATACATTCTTTTAGGGAATAAAAGCAATAAACTTTCTATTAATGGAAAAACACGTGAGGTTTATCATTTAATCGTAACTTTAATGTGTAGGCATTTATTTTTATAAATATAATTGTGTTGAATTCTGTTGATTGCCTTGTCCGATTGTAAGTCGGTGCATCTGACATAGAAGCTGCAAAGTACACTCTACAATTGTTGTTTTAGTCGTCATATCTCCGAGTTTACATCCTTTGTTAACATTCAAATTGTACAATATTACTGTGACTATCAGCTGGCGTAGCACTTGTATCAAATTATATTCGCATCTCTTTCACTCTATTTGAAAGAACAGAGACAACATGCGTCAACAAGTGTCACGCCAGTGGGTATTCACGGCTAAACATAGAAGTTGCCTGTAAGAGTTTATTTTTACAATTTAAGTATATTTTCGTTAATATTTAAGTTGTATTGGCTTTGAAAGGTTGCAGCGGAGAAGAAGGAGTATGTATTAAGTCTGTTAGATTTTATAGTAATGCAGAATTTAGTCTTCATTTGAAATGAACTTTAATATGATGAATATTTTAATTCGATCTTTTTTAATTTATACCGAAATAATACTAAACACATTTCTAAGTCGATACTCTGTATTTCGTAAAGTAAATGCATTTAGAAGAGATCCAAAGCGTTTCTATAAAATCTAACTGTTTCAATATATTTTTTCAACTAGGAAAATACGACAGGGTGCTAACGTGTTCGCGGCGTGTGCTCAACAGACTAGTTAATGTTTTTTTATTTTTTTTAACGGACAATGTATTTTGAATTTTTATTTGTTAGAACGATGACCTCATTAGTGTAATTGTTTGTGCGAAGAACGAAGCTGTAGATTCAAGATAGTAGTGATGTGAGAAATGTTCTAGCGATGCTTTAGTCTATGGTACGGAGAATATGAGAATAAGTATGGGCAGGGCTTGTTTATTCTGATGTCCACTGAACGATGATACTATTCAGAAGGTATATTGTTTATCAAATTAATATTGCTCTGCGCACTGTTTTTCGTACAGTGTCAAAATTAATGTTTTTGCATTAAGAGTTATTTTATATTGTTAGACAAGGTATCAGTGGACATTGACAGATAAATAGATTGAAGAAGTGTTAGGAGTCGCGGAGAGAGTATAGAGTATCAAATGCTTACTTGAATCGCTTCGGTGAAGGTATTGCCATGTATGAAAATGAATAATGTACCCACAAGGAACAATGCTACACTCAAAATTTTAAATGTTCAAAGGTAATTGGATAAATTATAAAAAAGAACTTGTGGAAGTGGTAACCTTAAAAATTGATATGTAAAATGTTATTGAATGAAATTGAAATATACACAGATCGGCACTATTACACAAAATTTGTTGTTTTTATTTGTGTGCATAACACAATAAATCCTTCCTTATTTGAAAAGGTGCTTATTTTATTTTTGACGTTGTTATTTGCTTAGTCGAGTAATTAATATGCGGATTTTAAAATCTGTCAAGAGAAGAGGATTATATTAACCTGAGTTGTAGTTTTGTGAACAAATGTGTATGATCTGTACAGTCGGAAACACTTCGATGCATATTTCTTTTTTTGTAAGAAGTAAAGTTCAGAATTGCTGGAATCAGTAAATGCGACATCCTCATGAACATGAAGAGTTCAGTAATGGTTGTTTATAATAATATGTGAATAAAAAATATCATTTGACATTTGAGTTTTATGAGACCTTATCCTTTGATATATATTATTTAAATATGGCAATCCTATTTGCGATGATGAAAAAAAAAAGATTTGCTCTATGACGAGGACCTCCATTTTGGCGCCGGTATTTTCGTTTGGCGCCACTTTCAAACTATTGCCGGTCTCATTGATTTTCGTAATCTATAGGTTTCGTATAAGTTATAAGGGAAAAGCCGATTATTAAATCACCCTTTTTTCATAGAAAATCTTGTCGCCTTTAGATATCGATTTTTCCGAAAATACATTTCTACTAATAAAAAAGTTGCTTAACCTCTAATGATTTCACTGAATAGTAAATTCAAGTATATTCTACAGTTGTAAAACTCCGATGTCTAGACGTTGAAACTGCCAACAAATTGGCAGTTAAGTGATCTAAAATAACAACATTTAACGCTTAAAAAAGGATCTTGGCGAGACGCCGAGTCAATAATTCAGCAGTAAAAGAATCCGTCACTTATTACTTCAGTTTGAAGACATCGTAAAGTTGATGCAGAAATAACAATAAAGGATAACATTTTATTATGTATGCAAATACGTAATCACACAATTCTGGTGAAAATCGGACTAAGAATTGGCTCTACAGTTGCAATTTAGCTTACAAAAAAGAGCACAACATTTTACGAGAATTACAGAAAATAGATTCCATTCGATTGACTTTAAACAGGGCTGTCATAAAGTAGAAATAATGGTATTCGATTACTTTACAACAGATTAAACAGAAGCCATTTACCTTTGCGAATTTATTGCTCGGGAACACGAAGCGAATAAAATATACAGGTATATTGCATTTGATGAATGCTTGCCATTATTTAACCGAATAAATTTCATGTAGGAAATAATAAATTGACTGAAAATAAAAATCTATAAAAAATAGGTACAACTTGCCTCTTACTTCTGCTAAAACTTTACATTTATATTCAAATAAATCCTTGATAAAAGTCCAGGAGGAGATTAATCATTGTTTAATATCTAAATGATTTATAGGCAATTTGGGGAATCAATCATTAATTTGTAACAGCAAATTCAATCCCTCGATGATTTGTAGAAAGAACTTTAATAATTAAATTGTTTGCAGCATTTATATTACATTAATTGTGTGTCTCAGTAGCGTGGAATTGTCTTCGTGCGAATGTTTGAAATCAAAAGATAAAATAAAATCTTAATAATTGATAAATAACTTACGACACACATTTCCTCGGAGCACAAATGTAGCCTTAAATTTATTATTATGCGACAAAATTGAGTAGAAAATCAACGATTACTGTTAAGTAACCTCAATTGTAAAAGTTTGATATAATATAAAGCATTTTCTGAACAAAACTTTTCATAATTTCTCTGATTTTTCTAATCTTTAATAAGTAGTATAGAATGTTTTGGTCACTTTGTGTGATCAAGTAAGTACAGGAGAAAGAAATTGTTTTAAATTTAACCGGTTAGTTTATAACAGCGCGGTGTTTAGAGTGCGCTCGGGTCCGGAGGCGGTCTACTTCATTAGTGGTATTTACCGTCCAACGGGAGCAGAGTGGCCTGAGGCACCTCGCTACTCTGCTAACCAAACTATTCAATTAGGTGTTTATTCCACACGCTCTGCGCGTAAACTAACTGAAAACATTGTAGTCCTTTTGAATGTTAAGATAGTTCCAATTTTTTAATTTAGAATTTAAGGTAATTCCGAATTCTAGCACTCACCCCATTAGCTACTCGTTTCAAATAAGTAAAGGAATCAGTAAAGGATTTCATGGGGCTTTAAAAAATTACTTAATAACTATAATGATAGTTTGCAATTATTTTTCTTATCCTGTTACTTGAATATTGTAATATTAACTTGAATATCCGTCTTCTTAAAAAGCCTTAGGAAATGCTGAAAGCGATTGTTAATAGGAATTCTTTTCTTACGCCACCTCATCAGTTGGTTAATTTCAAATAATCCCGGCGAGTAACCACGACCACGACTGAGGTAATTTCACGACTCGTTGATAAGGTCGCAACCAGCTTAGGGAAATGAGTTTTTCCCCGACTGCATTTCTACGATTTCTGAATCTTAATCAACCCGAAATCATCTTAAGGATTATACATATTATTTTAATATAAATTCAGACCAGGCATATATTAAAGACTTGTCTTCATGAATATGTATAACGTTGTTGATCTTTGAAAAGACAAACCAATGACATATTCATACTACAAAAAAATTAGATATTGCTTGTAAAACTTCAATATATGTATATGTCAATATGTGAACGAACATGAACGTGTGTTCGCAATAAGGCTTTTATGTCTCGCTAGTGGAACAATGCAGCTCAATTTGAAATGTGTTCGCTGTCGCAGCCTTAATGTACTCTCGCAATGCACAAATATCGAATAACTTCGCCTCGCCGTCTGCCATCTGTGTGAATTTGCTCGGAAATAGACGTTGGACTGGACTCTGTAATATCGCTTCTGACATGAACATTTCTCCACCCTGAAACATTGTGATAACCATCTAATTATTGATGCTGTTCAACCCTGACTGCATTTATATTGAACACAAAAACTTCATATCATTGGAATCCAATACAATGGTGTAAAACAGAGTAAAAAATGCATACGCTTACTATCTAACCACATTTCAAATGATATATCAATAATAATAAATATATTTTAGGTTTCATAAAAATTTAATAGCGCAAAGATAATCATTGGCTTTCTAATAAGCTTCCAATTAAAAAAGATGAGAATAGATAAGCTACACTTACCCACACTAAGTTCCGTATTTCTGTTTCAAAAACTCTATGCAACAAAAGAAAACTGAATGCATAATATAACATTACAGTTATTTTAATTTTAAATTATTCATTAATTCTAATTGTATATACCATGAGGAACAATAGAAAGGTTGCCTGCTACTATACTCTACTATGGAGAAAAAGAAATTGATTTATTGCAGGATATTTCTAAATATAGGAGTATTTCTATATCAGACATTTCCATGAGTAATTCGCTCGACATATTCAAGAAATCAAATATATTCTCCCGATGATAGAATTACGAAGAGGAAAAAGTGAAATCAGAATTTCTAAAGTGCTGACATAATGAAGCGAATTTCCGTTGACTTTTTAATTTCGAAATTAATATACATTTTTACAAGTGTGTTGCATTTATTGTATTCTTGATTTTATTACAAGTTGAAGATTATAATGATTTGATTAAATAACAGTTATGTAATTACAATACAGGGCTGCAAAGTTTATCATTTATTATTGTTGGTGATAAAGCTAAAAATGCGTATATCAGAGAAAGTTTAAAAATAGCACCAGGGAAATTGAGAAGTACGAGTATAGCGTCTTATGGACATATTACGCGCCGAGATTTTTCTCAAATAACCTAGAAAGTAAAGTGATTGAAAGTGGATGGCTGCATAAATAGGGGAAGGCCAAAGAAAGTATTAATATGTAAGAGTGTATGCGTAAGACGAGAGTGAATTCAAATATGAAAGCTGATAGACATGTATGGAGGAGTAGTACATGATGTGTCCACTCTCCGTAGGAATAAGGGCAGATTGTTTTGTGGAAGAATAAAAAAAAATTATGCAGTAATTTCACTTATTATATTTAAGTAGAGAATAGAATTTGTTTTATCAGTTGACATATTTATCTTTTGGGACTCGACTCGGGCACTACTCCAAGATTTCAATAGCAGGGAGGGTCAGTTTTCCTATCTTTATGTTTTGGCACTGGACCGCATATTTAAATTAAACTTATAACTTGTATAGTACGGGGGAGAATTTTTAATAAAATTCACACTAAAACAACAAACTTGATTAAATTATCAAAAAAAATAATTATATTTCACTTAGTTTACTAAAGGACTACAACGCATAGACGTACCAAATACTCTGAAACATTTTCATTCAAAGCTTAAAACAATGTATTACAATCGTACTTTACAGTCTTATATTTGATACAAAGTTATGTTATCAGATACTTCTTTTATACTTTAATAATCTTGCTGAATTCGCGTCGGTTTATGGAAGACGTAAAATGTAATAACATCGAAAGCGCGCTACAAGTTTTACGCCGGGCGGCAATTTATGCGGCCGTTTCGTTTAGCTCACCTGTTGCGATACAATACTAACCAAGTTACCTTCTTTAGTGTCACTAAATCTATACTTATACTACTATCTCGTTATGTCTTGTTGAGTACAAAATTTTATATATTAGTTACAGAATTTTTAGAATCGCCTTTGTTACAAGATTGGCGACTAAACATAGAATGTTATATGCGATCTATCAAATAAAATTAATAACTGTGATATCGTCCAAAATAAAACGATTTAAACGAACAAAATAAAACGAACTCTATTAACGTAATTGTTCTCGATATTCTTCGTAGTCGAATTGAGGGTTTCAAATTTGTAAAACAGTAAAGACAAGAAAGCACTGACAAAGCCAAAGGTCCGCCAAAATCGTCGTGACTAGGCGTTTTTAACGCAAACATAGGCCGTGAAAGTAAACAAATACTCTTATTTGGCATTGTTCATAAAGCATACTCCAATTTGTTCAAAAATATTACTATTTTGACAAAATCAATTAAATGAATGCGAGTTCTCCATCAAAATTGCGCTGGTTAATTGTTTTGGCAACCGGCTGTTTGTTCAGTCAAACATAACTGAACTAGTCAACACTATTTTAAATGAAATATAAATGTATTTGTTTCAAATAAAAGTCTGTTTTCATTTACTTATTATTTATTTTCCATGTTTTAAATAACGTATAAGTTCTTGGTTTCCTTAGTGTTAAGTTTGTACTAAATAATAAAAGCTTACATTTATTGTAATAAATAGTTCTTTGGAAGCATAAACATGAACATATTCTCTCTTCTGGTTATCGTAATATTGTAATAAACATATACATACTTATGTTTAAGGTGTGATATATTAAATTGACGAGTAATAAAGGCAAGACTAAGCTGTAATATAGGGACGTGTCAGGCGCATGTGTGTACGATTGTTATTGATATGGGAATGCTATTAAATCTAAGCAAACGTAATTAAATGAAATATTTGAGATAAGGGTCGGATCAGACTACACGTATTTGTGAGGTATCAAGTAAATCTTAGGGGGTTTAATTAAATATTTTAGTATCTACGAATAAATATTTAAAATTATTATAATACTAATTAGAACTACACGCCATGACTTTCTCTTCTGTATGGACCTCCATAACCGCTGGGGGGTCCGTAACTACTGGGAGGTCCGTAGCTACTTGGGGGTCCGTATTCATAGTGATGGTGGGGAATGTGATGATGATCATGATGATCTCTCTTCTGTTCCTTGAGGTAACTGATGAACCAAGAGAGGAAGTAGCCCGCCTTGTGGATGACCACGAAGAAAACGAAGGCATATATCAGCTTCAGGACAAAGATCTTCTTGACTATTATATCTGCCCAGTACACTGAAAATAATAAATTCTTTTGTAACTGTTTATTGACAATACAGGTAAAATGATGGCCATTTTATTAATGTTTCGCTACAAGGTTAGTTTTGCGGTCTACTTATGTTATAGTTAGTTTAGTTTTGTGAAGCCAACTTACCAAATAAAGCGATTTTTTTCTTCTTTCCTCTGCCTTCGATGATGTCATTTTGTTCACTAAACGCACCATTGCAAAATGCAACTAACGATAAGGTAATTAACAGCGAAAGAGACTTTAAAGACATGTTAAACAATAACTTTTTTAAAGAAATGTATAAAATATAATTTTCTCTGCTATAGAACTTATGTTTACGCGTCGGGATTTGTTATGACAATGACATTCGTGTAAATGCGACATAGGTTGTGTGGGAGGGCGCTAAATGCTTCGCTAACTGACTGAAAGTTTCGCTTTCCGTTCCGCAAACAAACGTAACTGTCCTAATTGGATTGGATGATATTGAACTTGTTCATGTAACGATTTCTAAAAGAAAATACGCTGAATCATTCTAGTTTACATAATGTTATGTTTGTTTTTTTTTGTTCTTTATATTGGCCTTTTTTACAATATTCAAATATTTACATTATAATAGTTTAATTTATGATTGCTCGTGTTCTGGAAAAAAAATTGACAAAATTCGATTTATTCGCAAAGAAACCCTGTCTTCAGCCAATTATATGCTGAAACAAGTTTTTTTTCTCAATAATAACATCATAAAATGTTTACTATCAAAAATGTAATCATGCGACGTACACGAAATGCCAAAAAGATTACATCGACGTTGAAAAACCGACGTCGAAATCGGGTAATAGGAATATAGGTACTGTGGAGTGTCGTAACTCAAATATGTATGTTCATATTTGTATATATTTGTCGAGGCGTCGCGTCGCGTCTGCCTTCGTCGTTGATATTTGCTCGGAATTAGAATTGTAAATCACACTTTTTACATCACTGCTGGAAAGGTAACTCGATATGTTATTCGACTTGTCACATCATACACCTTCAAATTAAAAAGCAAAAAATCTGTTTTATTGGCTGCAGTGTTCTTTATATAACTTAGGTAGATAACAAAAAGAGTTGGTCCAACCCTGAAAGCACGACTGATGGAAAAAAAAAAAACTTTCTTGTCTCATACATCACTAATTAATTCGTTATAAATGTAAAAGTGACGCGATCTTGTTTTTATAGTAGTAAGTTGTTTACGCTCGCTTAATTTCATACATATAAAATACATACATCTAGATGTAAAAACCAACATAGAGATCCTATATCAACATAAAGAAAACTAGAGATAACAATAATATTTTCAAATAAATTTTACGGCAGTTGAAATTCACAGTTAAAAGGTTATAAGTATATAAATACTTTTCGAGTTGATACAACTTCAAGGAATTTCATAAAGTTTTATCGGACTACAATAATCCGGATGTACGAAGCAATCAAATGTATCTTGGTGGAATTATTTGCATGCTGTCACATTGTAGTGGTGAGCTATAACTCACAGTCGGGCGCACTGAGGTCCCGATACCGACTGACTTCAGTATTACAGCTGTATATCAACATTTACATTGTGCTCGGAGACGGGTGCCGCGTTATAGCAACAGATATGTTTGAATCTGACGAGTTATTGAATTGTACACATTTGAAACAAACTAGATTAACTTGTGTGGATATCTGGATTGAATTTTTCTTTATTTTTTCATACTAGTTATTTTTTCGAGCTAGCAGCAAAAAAGGTTAATTATATAACTAGTTTTATAGCCTTGTGAAGTAGAATTATTACACAATTTTTGAGTTAATAGTATGTATATTTCTGGTTCTTTCTAAACACACGATTCCACAACACTATTTTTCTTTATAATATTATAATAATAATAATAATTTATTGAGCCATTGTTGAAATTTTACCAGTTATACCATACAGGCGTGCTAAATAAATTACATGTTAAGTTCTATTTTGTACAAAATACGTGCCGGCTTGTTGTTAAAAGGAATTTATATCTCTAGAAGTCAATTTACTTGCGGTGTATAGAACACAGACAAGCTTAGTAGAGATTACAATACCTAGTGAACTAGGAGTATCGGTATTGCGAAGCATTCCTGAATTGGAAGCTACGAGAGCGTAGCGGCGGGATACGGGACGTAGCGGACGTGCAAGCATCGAATGCTGCCTGTAAAGCCTTTCTGAAGTTTACGTGCTTCAATAAAGGAATGAGAGAGTGGTGGGAGGTGTTAGTAGGGTGAGGGGAGGTTGCGTTATCTTCAGATATTTATAGACCGGATTACTTAATTAGACTTTTGAAATCTATTAATTTTGTGTAACATGATTAGTAAATGTATGTATGTTCTGGAGTCGACAAACAACACTGAAAAAATTAAATAAAAATCAAAACATCTCATCAGTCTGATGTAGATCCGCAGTCTTCATTCGTTTGACTGAAATATTGAAATGCATTTTTAACAGCGATTTTTATTAATTTCGTCAAATCCAAACATTTTCTTGTACCCCTGGTACAAGCGTATCTTTCGCTAATAAATCGTTGGTGAGTTAATTGTACGTCAGATTGCGATAACACGCGATGCTTTTGACACCAAAGTAATTAAATTCATTTAATGAATTGCAGTGAATTTATATTTATTCTTGATAGATATAATGTAACAAGCATATGTATATTTTTACTAATAGTACGCGAATTACAATGATTACAAGATGTAGGTTTGATCGTACATATTTTTATTGTCTTCCAGTACTTAATTATACAATACAATATACAAAATTTCCACTGAAACATGTGCAACATTCAGTGGCGACGTTAACATACTCCTACAATATCTGTGGCTTGGTATAGATAACATAGAAGCCTATTTTCTAGCTTATCTGACGTAGCTGTCACAAGCCAGACTGCAACATGAGTGTTGCGGTCAACTGACCGGTTTCGGAGGAATGCTGATGTGCAACGTCGATATTGTACAATTCAAGTTATGATATATATTATTACACAAGATCTAATAAATAGATATATCTTTCGTAACATCTATGATCGTATTTATTTTTTGATACATATTTCATTTTTTAAAACAATAGATGGCGCTATACAAAAATTAAATTGATCCTGACACATAGTTTAGATATTTAACTTTCATGTAAGTGATTTGATAGTTATTTGGGGTATCCATTTATACAAATGTCCCAATTGAATACCGCAATTGGTAGCTTGATTCTGTCTTTATTCGTGAATCTATTGAGTGCATAATTTGAATGAAGTTTCACAGCACGTAAATTCAGTGAGTAGTTGTGGGCAGCAGAGGGCAAGAGCGGCATCGGGTTTTGGTAACATTCCAAGCGATCGAGTGGGCGACGGAAGTCAGTGTCGAGATTTTGTAGCAATTAGATTCACTTGAAATTTACTCCGACAATATTTGTAGTTTCTACCGATATAATATCACCAAACTGTATCAGGGATGTGAATTTTACTTTTTATAAATGTAACTTGATAATTATTCCGCTTTTAGCTACATCAAGACTCAGGAAGTAATGTTCCTTTATGTACAGCTAGTCCATCGTTAACTTAAAAAGGACTAAAGTTGATATTAATTCCACATTTTGAAATAATGAATTAGTCATATTTTTAATACTGTTATTGGTTACATGTCAACTCGTTGTCGGGTCTGTGGACTTGTATCAACATGGTATCAATAAATCAAACATCAAATCTTCTCTTTCAATCTGTTTGAAGTTGTTTGGGCGCACGTCTTCATCGTAAATACTGCCTTGTTGTGAACAGAGTGCCGCGCGCAGCACGTAGGCCTACGACAGTGCTACGCTCCAGCTACAAGCCCTCACGTATATTGTCTACGTGATATGCCACCTACGACGTCGATGAATAAAATATCATAATTTTATATGCAATATGTTTTAAAATGATTTTGTTATAAAATCCTTTTTGGTACCAAATGAATGGAGATTATATTTCATTACTTTTATATTTAATTATTTATATTAAACAAAAGTCATTTACATTTATAACTATGACAAAGACACTTTATTCAACCAGAATCTTATCGATTAAACTCCAAATGCCAATATATAATATTCGACCATAAATAACAAACGTTTATTATATTTAATTAATTAATTGGCAGCAGAAGTTAAACAATGGGCACCATTGAATACGTCACAACACAAGCCGACGAGATACGATAAATACCGAAACAATGAAATATCATCCCGCCGGCACTGAAGCCGTTTTCACACGGGGGCGGAATACTAGACAGCGGAGTACTGCTATTGCTTAGACGCATATTAACTGTCAAAACAAAACTGATCTGTCTCGAAGTGTACGTCCATACAATGGTAGTACTGCATCGCCTATTGTTCTATGCTGTCCTTGTGTGAAATTATCAAGAGGGTGGAATTGAGTTCATTTTATAATCCGGCTATCGATGGGATTAGAGAAAGGCAAAACAATACCTTTGTACTCATTGTGATAGGTTTGAACTCAATGCCTTGCCTATTGATTTATAATTATCGATTCAAAGTTTCTACTAAGTTGATTCTTTTGCTTAAATAAATCTCTAAAGAGACGTAATAAAAACGTTATAAATTCTACAATAAACTTTTGAAAGTCTAGAAACAAAGGGTATTGTAACGGCATAAATTAAATTTTCATTAAGTCTGATCTGTATATGTTAATTTCACATATTGCCAGCGTTTTTGTAAGTAAGGTACTAGACATTCTATGTATTTTTCTCTCTAATATCGGAGCTGGGACAATGTATTTAATTGTAGTGCTTGTAACACACGTTCGTATCACAGTATCGATTAATTATCCGAGTGACGTCACATGGTCGCTATAAATCCAAGCTTTGATTACAAACACAAGTGCTAACATGACACGTAGATGTATCGCATCTAATAGCGTATCTACTAGATGTTTGACACATGTGTTTAAGTTCTGAAATGAAGTTAGCCGAAGTAATACATTTTATGAAACGTTTATTATTGTATTAAGGTATTAATATAGTTTTTTTTTATTTAATTTTATTTCATATTATTATAATATATTTCGTAAAAAGGAAGTGACTCTTAGCAACAGGATTTCTGAAATCACATTTTTTGTCATAAATAGAAAGGAATGATTGATTTTTACATTCCTCATTTCGTTCACCGGAAACGAGAAATTCAATTTACTTGGGAGCTCTCATGTGCCACCTATAATTAGATTTTGGCAAATAATATAGCGTTGAAAGTACTCATAAACCGGATGCCTTTGGACGTATTTGGGTAATGATTTGCGTAGATGTAGGAATG